TGTACGATTTCCGAATCTGTTGTCTTCGCTTTACGCTCGAGCTTTCGGTTCATTCAACGACAATGCAGTTTCTCGAAACGCAGAAAAATTGTTCTTCGATCGTAATTTTTTTGCGATCCTCCTTTTAAAGATCATCGATCAAACTTTCGTCACTGGAATCACTCGATCGGCTATGAATACGTTCGATGTATTTGTTTCGATATTTTTTCTCGTCGAAGCGGTCTCTCGAGAGTCGCCTCCGCCGAACCATCCAATTACTTTCCCGTCCGAGGACGTTCCACGCGTCATTACGCAGCGTCTCCGCTCGTGTTCATTTCCCAGATCCTCTCCAGGCGCGCCCCCCGCCCCGGGGGGCCCTCCGACGTCGACCCTTTTTACGTTTTCCTCGTATCCAGGTCGACCATTACGCGTCCCTTACGAGCGAGCAGGTGCGCCGAAGCGCGCGTCGCGTAGTAGCCGTGCCCTCGCGGAAAGGAGATTCCCTTCTCGCGGAGAATAAGAATCCCGGTCACATTTCGCCCCTCGAATAAATCCAGACGAAAGGACGCTGGCTGAAACGAGCCACCGGGACGGATGGCAACGGTGGTCTGGCGAACGGAGAACCTGAAACTCGTCGGGGCTAAAGGGTTGCGCTCGCGGGAGAATAAGGACGGGAACAACAGAGCAATAAAACGGACGAGACGAGGGGTTGTTCGAGGAACGCGAGAGGGAAGCGCAAACCGGGAAAAGATAGGCGAAGGGAGCGAACTGAGCGAAAAACGCGAGGACAAAGCGAAAGAGGTGGGGGTGGGAGGGATTTAAGGGTGAGGAGGAAAGCGTGAGTCGGATGTCGGGCTAACTTGACGACGGAGCTGCACTATGTTATCCCTCAGCCGTAACCGAAGAAGAAGCGGAGGAGCAGAGGCGTGTCTCGTACCTCCTTACAAACTGCCGAAACTTTGACTACCACCCCCTTCCGCCCCTTACGACTGCTGGCTTTACGTGGCAGCTTGCGCGTCTCGACGTACACGCCCTCTCCTTTGACCGCGACGCACATGTACGCGCGGTACGTCTCGCTATTTTAACGAGCTATTCGAATTTAACGTCTCGGCTCGAGGTACGATAAATTGTAAACCTACAAATACGAAATTAAAACGCGGAACGTAACTTTAAGTATACGCTACTGTAACGAAACTAATCTCACCCGTGAATTCCGAAAGGTACACACAGGTGCCGCTTTTTTAATTGTCTTTGTAGTTATAGATGTAATTTAACAGATTTAAATGAAAAAAAATTTGAAAAAAAATCTGTCAGAGATCGGAGAAATCGAGAACGCATTATGAGAGAGCGCGTCACCGCGCGCAACTTCCCCACAACGACAACATTCTCTTACAATATTGTCGTTGAAATACAGGTAGGTACGAGTAGACGAGAAACTACCAAAGTTCTCGGTTCGCGATAATATTTTCTCCAAATCCGTTTCGGCAACAACGACTCCCAAAGTACTTGGACGACGAATTTGGTTGCGCCGTTAAGAAGCTGGTGGAACAAGACGAGGGTTGGCATGACTGTCGGCGCGAGGACAGGTGATCAAACACGACTTTTCTTCCGCCAGTTCTTTAGCCGAGGGAAATTAACGAGGGACGTGCAGCCCAAAGTAGGTACGCTAATTGCACAGAAAACCGTGTTTCCTCGCCCGTAATTCTAGACGAGGAACTACTTTTTCTGGGTGCGCCAGCTCGTCGCCGGATAATGTATTATAATTATACGGAGAACGTGGAACACGAACCGCGGAAGAACGTATCTCCGGGGTCCAATAAAATTCGACGAGATTCCCGCGAGGCTTACGTTCGACCCCTGAAACCCTCGAATCGCAAGTACGACACATACATGACTACTGCGTCTCGCAAGACAGAGAAAAGCAGTCGAAACGTCCAACCATGGACCAGACCTAACCCAGACCTAGCCAACGGCGCAAATCGGCCGAAATGCGGCGAGATTAGCTCTCGTTTCGAATATTACGGTATCAAGAGTTCGCATCGAGAGTAGCTTCCAACGTAACGGTTCTATCGGGTTTATCCGCGACGACTTTCTTACTTCGAGCCCGTCGGGAATGCAAGAACCGGCCGCCATAAATCAACGGAAAGTGGTGATTACGAGTGCAACGGTAGCGCGCGGCACGACAACGAGCGGCTACGCCTGACGTTGTTTCCGAATCGTTCGTTAATTTTATATCACCCGTGCATGAGACTTCTCGTTTAACAATCGTACCGTCTCACGCGAGCCATCAGAACGCCGCACCGGGTTCGGTTAACGCCACTTGCTGTCTCGCATTTCATCGTGTCGTTACCGCGACGATTCGTTCCACGCGGAGCATATACGATCCGTGGCGAACACCGTACACCTCCGGCGACTGCTTAATCGATGGATAACTCTCGGTCGTTGTATATGGATTTCCATTGGCGACGAATGAATATTTCTAAAATGCGAATGCTCGCGACGAACAGGAGGAGCGTCTCCGTAATCGCGGAATGATCCGACATCGACGAAACGACCGTCACGTTGCCCGCCGTGAGACCGATTACGCGTGCCTATATTTCGATCACGTAACCACGCTGATGCAAATCGCGATCGTTCAATTACGCAGCTCGCATCTATTTATTAATTAATATTCAAGGCGTGGCGTAACGGGGATACACAATCGCAGCTGCCACGTCGCGGCGGTGGATCGGCAACCCCCGCACCCCTGCATTCTGTCGAAGGTCCAAGACGCGCTCGTAAATCCTAGGCTGTCGTAATTACCGGATAGCGAAGCTCCGTCGAACGCGAAACTGCCAACGCTTTCCTATCCGCTCTGATTTATTAAGCAGCTTTCGTCGTTCGACACGATGACTCGCGTGCCGGCGCATCGTAATTTAATCGGCCTTAAATCATAAGTCGCGAGTAATGAGGGGAGGGGAAGGAACGCGGGGACAACGTTCAACGAACCGAAAAACTAACCGAATCGTAACTAATTACAACTGATTACGACCGATTGAAAGAGATCGCGTCGTATTGTCGCGCTAGTAGAAACAGCCGACTATGATCAGGCGCCCCAGCCACAGCTCTAATTTTCTCTCTATACGTACGGACCTCCAATCTACAATGTAAATACGACATTCGCTGGCAGTAGACGAAATATTATACTTCCTTTACAATTCAACTATTCGCGTTATCTCCTTACGACTTTGTAATGTATCTGCAATGTAGATAACGTAATGTATCTACGTGACCTTTGAATAAATTCGTAAAGCGTGCACAGTTATATCTTATCACTGCGTCGCCAAAAACCGCGAGGGCGTCTGAAACCGTTTCGAAAACGTCGGGCGCCGCAAGTGTCCGGCCTCGACGGCTGAAATATATAACGAGGAGCAATTATCGCGTCGCGAAAGAGCGGATCCGCGGAGCGCGTAAACACCGCCGGCGCAGTGCAGCAACGCGGCGCGCGGTTAACAAGTTATCCGGAGGACCGCATTGAATAATGTAGAATTTAATTTCGGCCCGGCCCGGCTCGGCGCGGCCGGCATGCCTCTCTTCGTCGTCATCGAGCCGCGGCGTTGATCCGCATCGTGAAACATTTAGCTGCCGTGAAATTTCCCATGCGACCGGCCCGGATGCGGCCGGACAGACTGCGCCGGTGTATTTGTCGATGGGCGAGAACCATCCAAGGGATACGTCCCGTCCGTTCTTTTAGCGATTCGTGCCTCGAATTTAGAGCCGAGCAACGACATAGCGAAAGGGACGAAAAAAGATCCCATCGCGAGGCTTCATTTGCGACGTAGAATTATAAGCGATTTTAATGTAAAATTATCACCTGCCTCTTCGTGGAATTATTTATGTACCGTTTAACGCTGTTCTAGTATTACGCGGTAGTATTTGGTAGTTTTTTTTCAGGTTGTACAAAATGATTTAAATTTTGACGGAAATTCAAAGGCAAGACGAAGTGTCATTGATGCGCTGTCTTGCTATCGACAACTGCCTATTGAACGAAACAGGCCTAGAGAAACGATTTTAGATGACTTCGTTACAAAAAGAAAAAATATCAAATAAGGAAGACCTTCAGAACCTTCCTCGTTATAAACATGACATTTTTACTCGACCTTTTTTTGATTTTCATGAATGTTTCATGAATAAGAATGGATGTTAGCAATAATTAAGTCAGTAATTGATTGTTAAGACTTATTCTGTATATTTGTAAAAATAATCCCAAACTGGATCGAAGAGAAGAAGTTAATAAAATTCGAGCATGTGCGAATCGAATCGTCGTTCGCGCCGCTTTAGACACGCCGTCGCGTCGGTTCGCCACCCTCGCACAAAGTATCGGCGAAGAGAGACAAGCGCGGAGCGCTATCGAAGGGAGGCAAAGTCAGCGCGTAGAGGGAGAAAGGATAGAAAAACGCCAGTGAACCCTGTTCTGGATTAACGGAGCCGCCTGTGCTGCAACGACGATGCACTTCCCGGATATTCGAGCATCCGGACAGCTCGTGAGATATTCAACGGACCGAATATCCGGACAGATTATACAATTTTCTTTTTTTTACGCCAGGATTCCTCCTCCCCCTTGTCACCCCTTTTCCATTTCCCCGTTTCTTTTCCAACGGTACCGAGCATCGTGCGGTTGAGCATAGTTTTTGAAACTCTCGTCATCGCGACGCAAATATTCCTACAAAGGTAAATTGTTTCGACTCCGAGGGAAATCGTCGACGTACAACTTGGCTATCACAGATTCGCAAAATATTCGTCTACTTTGTCTCTCGCGACAACGAAAAAATTTGATCCTTTTGCGCGTGTTCCGTCATATACAGGGTGCGGCCGAATAACATGTACCAACGGGCACGAGGTTCGTTTAATAATTTTTTGCCATTATTCGGCCGCACCCTGTACAGTAAATACTTAATCTTTTTACTATTTTGACGATGACGTTAAAGCGAAAAGTTAAATCGCAAAGCAACACGAGAAATTCTGAATCCGCTCTTTTTTACCTGGTATTGTTGAAAGCTTCGTCCAACGCATGTCTCAGACTCTGTTCGTTCAAGTCCGGGTATCTCAGGACTTGAGCGACGCCCCTAGCCTGAGCCGTGTACGAATTCTGATGTTGGTCCCCATACAAGGGCATCAATACCATCGGTACACCATTGTAAACACCCTCTGTCAAGCCGAGAAGACCGCCGTGGCCAAAGTAGCACTTGACGTTCGGATGACCTGAAAACAGAATAGTAACGATAATCGCCTCTGACTCGGTACCAAGAAATCGTCGGAAAAATTCCATCGCAGAACGAAAGCTATTTCATTCCCATTCGCGTGACATTCGGAGAAAGGAAGAAGGGCCGTTTCTTTTCATAAATACGCGACGTTTGATTTCATTCCACCGCCGTCAAATATGAAACATTTTCGGGGGGTCACGATCCCCGCGATGCTGGCTTATTATAGAGCGCTCGTGAATGCTACCTCCCCTAGAAGAATCACGGCGTCCCCGTATAATAAAGGGGGAGAAGCTCCAGGAATGCTCTCGACTTTAAATAAATCCCAGCGTCGAATGCTCGGGCTGAAAAATTCCTCCCGCCTCCCCTCGTCTCTCTCCATTCGTCGCCAAGAGTCACCCCCTCGGCGTGGGGTAGCTGTCGCATCCCCATCGCGTCGTCTCGCGCGATTCCGAACCTTCAACGTCGATCCTAATGTCAAATTCCATTACGACGATCCTCCTTCACCCCGCCGCGCCGTTTCGACGCAGCTGTTTCGTATACAAACTCTAAACGATGCGTTAAGCCTTCCGAGCTCGAGACAAAATGAAATTTTTAGGGCTCCTCCAACATCTCGAGACGCGAGATATTCGATGGATTTCCACGAGATCTCGCTACTCTCGTTACCCGCTGGCTCGCTCGACCGACGAAAGCTAAATTTCAATTCCCGTCAGCGGTCGTTCGCGTCGTAAAACGTGCGGGAGCGTCCGCGGGAAATACCAGCGCGTTATTTCCTCGTTACGAGCGCCGTAAAAATGTCTCCCGCGGCGCATCGTGCCCGACAAAAATCTCGGGGCAAATCGCGCGACCGATTCTCTCTCCGATCCTCTCTCCGATCCTCTCCCGTCTCTCCGTACTCGCGCGGTGCTCGTCTTATTAGAAAATTTACAAGTCGTATCGCACGTATCGAGGCCTATTAGCCATTGCCGGGGAAATGGAAACGAACGAGCGTCCCCTGTGGAGTTAATTCGAGACGTCGGTGGAATCGTTGATGCCGAACCTGCGGCACGTAAATCCACGATACAAATCGAATCGCGATCGATTCGCATTTGTAATTTCACCGATGCATCACCGGGGGAGCATCGAGTTAGCATGCACCCGCCTCGGCTACCGTCTGACCCGCCCGATCTAATACAACTCGTAAAAGTAACAAAGAAGTATATCCTATTCCTTAATGGATAGCGAACGGAATAAAAGTGGACCTGGATGGAATGATTCCGCTTTTGCCCGGTGAGCGATGCGATCTTCCGTTTCATCCTCGCCTTTACACCGCTAAACGCGATACTCGAGGGCATTGCGTGTCAACACATCCCTGGCCTCCGTCGGCGATATCGTTGCCTCTAAAATCAATTACATTAGTGGACGGTACACCTATTGACAGAATCGATCGTAAATACGTCCCGGAAACGGCTCTCTGATCAAGAGAAGCGCGCGCCGATCCGCCAAGCTGTCGAGGTCCCGTTCCAACGATTCGTTAAAATAAAGTATTCGAACTCTTGCGTGGACCGGGCGAAAAGTATGAAATGGATTGGTCCTCCCTCCACAGCGAACAGGACGTTATCGGGATACTTTCATCGAGGAAAAATAAAATTCATTTCAACCAAACCGAAAGTATCGTAATAAAAAATGAATGCGCGTTCTCTTTCCTATCTCGTTCTGCGTGGAAGTTTAACCCGAACGTAAAATAACAGTTACACTTTGAAAATTATTCGCAAATACCTCCTCCGTTTTGATGCCGCTAAGGTGGTACAACTCTGCAAGTAAAGAGAATTAACGATTTCCACGGGTTCGTGAAAACGATGCTTAGGGTAAGTTACCATCGGCCGCTCGAGATCGCGAACCATTTCGCGTGCGAAGCAATACGAGGCAAAGTGCAGTCCACGATCTTATCGAGATCACGAAGGCCGAAGAGCTGGCACGACCTGGGGACGCAGGGAAGTAAGTCCGGGATACACTGGTCATAATAAAATTAAAGCGTTCGAATCCGTCTCCGTTTAACTCTTTATTTACTGAATTCCTCAAAAGTTTTAAAATCTAGGCGTTCATCACGGTCTCGTGTCTTACAGAGTTGTCGCTAACAAGCCTCCAAAAAAAATTTCACAACGTCGATTATTTATTTGGCATTCGTTTCTGGCGAAGATCGAACTCGGAGGCTGATTGAATTTTCAAAGAAGGTAAACGTTTGTAGCATGTGCTTCGCGGATGACCGCTCGTCGAGCAACGCGACGTCTATTAGATTAGTAAATTTGCAATAGCCATTGTGTCCGAAGGGGGACACCGAGCAAGCAAGTAGATAAATTGACCGATGAGCTAACGTTGCGTATCCAACGATGGAAAAAAAAAACATGACTTGGATAATCGTTCACGTTTACGACAATACAAACACGATGTTTCTAACAGTTATCGAGCTCATTTTATGTTTATAGAGACGCAACAGAACATCGTGATGCTTCACAATTTTTTGTCGGATCATTTCAGTTAATCGATGCGTCGAAGAATGTAAACTGTCGCCGTGGACGAAGTGTTTAGCTGTGATTTATGTTGTCAGCGTGTCGTTAGCGTGTCGACTAATTGAAGTTGTTTTGCTCGTCAGAGGGCCGAAAGCCACAAAACTACTTGCACGAGAATTTCCGGAGTCTTGGGTCTCGTCGAAAGAACGTCTTCGACACAACGAACCACTATTAATAGTATTCGTACGCGATCGATCGATTTGATCGTTGATTGATTCGGTCGTTGATCGTTAACGCGAGGCGATAGGGCCGACAACGAGACCGTTATCAGTTCATTAAATGAGAAAAATTAGAAACGGATCAAGCATACAACTGTTCCATCGATAAGTACCCGACTCTCCTAAATGAACGCAAACGCGTCGGAATGGAAGTAGAAAGAGGAACGTCGGAGAACATGGTTACTCGTATCACGGAATGACTATGGAATCCTAAAACAATTTGACATGGAATGATCGATACGACGTACACGCGTCAATGGTCAGATATCATTTCCAGGTATCGAAGGCTCCTCAACTATGCAAGCCTCTTTGAAAGTTTCAAAACTATTCGATGCTCCCTTCCACGGTGCTCTGCAGCAAATGCCTGCGCGCTCTCGAAACGTTACTGCTACGAAATCCGCTTTCGATATTTCGCAACGATTTCCGATGTTCCGGCTTCGATTAGTTTTCAATCGCAATTGCGGAATTTCAATTCGAATTCGAGCACCGTTCTTTCGTTCGCCCATTACTGCCATTGACACCGATACGGCGATATTAAACTGCGTCTCGTTACGAATTACTAAACGAAACGAAATAATGGGACTCGCGTACACGTGCGACTGACTGTACGCGAGTGCCGAAAATGATTTGCAATTCATTTCGAGGAACGCGTCCGAAGGACGATGTATGTAGATTAATCATTGTTTATCTCGTCGAACGTGCTAATCAAACGTACGGCCGACTTGCATGTCGTTGCGTAACGGCGCCGCGTGCATTAGATCGGTCGTGTTTTATTTTTCAACCGCGG